GGGGGGGGGGGGCGCGCTCCTGGCCCCGGGGGGATGGGGACCTGCAGCACTCGTGTGGACAGTTATCGTGGCCACCGGCACAGCTCCTGGAGAGGCCCCCATTCCCGCTCCATTACCCCCAGGCTTCAAGCAGCTTCCTGGACCATCCCATGTGGTCCTGCCGTGGCCCAGCTGCCTGGCTTTTGGCCTCCTCTACAGGAGTCGGCCACGGTGGCCTGTTTCCCCCACCAGATGCTTATTCTGCCTCTCTGCTCTTGTGGGCCCTCCACCTCCGCCCTCCTGTTTGACTCTGCCCGGTCAGGCTCAGATCTCACATGCTTCCTGGGTTTTCCCTCACCCCCTGCTCCCCAGAAGTGACCTCATCCTCTGGCATATGTGTGTGGAGCTCTGCACCGGCCATGGCCTCCGGTCACCTGGCCCCCATCCTGCCCCACAGCCCCAGCACCCTCTCTCTAAACCGAAGCTGCTCAGCCCAGGCCACTTGGATGCTGGCCACGTCCAGAGACATTGTTGGCTGTCATGCTGGTTGAGGACGCTTCTGGCATCAAGTGGGTGTGGGGATGCAGGTCAATCCCACAGTGTGCCCGACGCCCTCACCCGTAGGATGCTCTGGCCTCGAATGTCCGCAGTGCTTGGGGGCAAAGGCCTGCTCTGCACTGTGTTCCTCACCCCATCCGGCTCCCTTCCCATCCAGGCTCACCCAGCGTCCTCGATGACCCCAGGTCTGCAGGCGTGGCCACCTTCGTCATCCAGGAAGAATTCGACCGCTTCACTGGCTACTGGTGGTGCCCCACGGCCTCCTGGGAGGGTAGGCACCTTTGCGTTTGTAAAAGCGCTTCCCCAAGTGTCCCTTTTATTACCAGAGCCACAGTCTACTTGCTTTTCTGCTCTTTGCTCTTTTCACCTAAAACAAACCTCAGCCACCTTTCTATCAGTGTTAGTGTCCCAAGCCATTCAGGCTGCTGTGACAGGGCCCCACAGCCCCGAGTGGCTGATCACCTTGGGATAGGATTTGACATTTTGAATTTGGGGAGCAGGAACCTTCAGTGCATTGCAGTCCGCACACAGGGAACTTGGACGAGAGTAACTGTCCCTGGGGACCACAGTTGGTTTAAATTAGTTCTTGGCTGTTTCCAGATTTTGGTTTTGCTTTTGCTTTGTGTCATAAACAATGCCACAATGCACATCTTTGTATATATATCCTGACCTTCTGGGAGGTTCTCAGGGGTTCTTAACCAGGGACAGTTCTGTCCCCAGGAGACGCTGGGTGACGTCTGGGGACATTTGTCATTGTCACGACTGGGGGCTACAGGTATCGAGTGGAGAGGAGCCGGGGCTGCTGCTCAGCATCGTGCAGTGGCCAGGTCAGCCCTGCCCATAGGGAATGATCCAGCCCCAAACAGTCCCCAGTGCCAAGGATCACAAATCCTACCATCTTGAGAAAGTTCGAGCAGTAAGAGAGTTGAGCCGAAGCTGCACACAGCTTCAGTCTCGATGGGTTTTGCCAGCAGCTTATGGAGGAAGCCAGATCGCAGGTCCTTTTGTATCTCTTTCTCTGCCCACATACTGCGGGGCTGGTATTCAGTCGAGCCAGGCCCGTCTTCTAAGGGTGGAGGACCTGTTTCTGGCCTATGTGCCGCTCACTGATTTCTCCGTGGCCTTGGAGCCTCGGGGAGCTTTAGCGGGGTGCACGGCCGTGTCAGAGCCCTGTGTGCCGCGCACTACTGCCTTGAGTTCAGCTCACCTCGTCCTTAAATTGACTGAAAGGGAAGCCTTTACAGTCCTAACCATCAGTAGAAGCGAGACACTGAATCCGGTGCTGGAACGCAGCCAGCACCACACAAACCGAGGTCGGCTCCCAGGAGGAGGGGTCGCTACGTCAGAGAGGCACCTGAGGCGTGCGGATGCTGCTGGGAGCCGACGGGGCTGACCGCCGTGCCCTGTCCTTCCGCCTGGCTCCGGGGGCTTCAGTGCGCTGCCTGCGCCCCTGTGGCCCATGCCTCCAGAAAGAGGGCCCTGGGTCAGGTCATTCAGCCCGTGGCTCCCTGCGGTCCTGAAGCGTGGGACTGCTTCATCCTGGTCAATAGAACGAGGTCATTGGCTAAGAGCAGGATGTCTCTCCCTCGGCGCTCTGGACATCGGGGCCAGATCTTTCTCTGCTGGGGGCCGCCCAGGGCACTGTGGGCTGTTGAGCAGTGTCCCTGACCTCTACTTGAGGTGTTACTCAGGTTCTGACAACCACACGGGATGGCCCCTGGTCGAGATCCACTGGCCTAGCTGGTCTCACAGGTCCTTTCTCTGCTATGCTGGCGTGGCTCCAAAACCCCTTTGAGGAAGCCCCCCGAATGCTACAGCCATCAGCCCCGCGGTGTGGCCCTCTCCCAGACCCCACAGCCATGTTTGCCTCCTGTGCTGTCTTACATGGAGGAACAGGGCTTTTCTTAGACCACAGCAGCCCAAGAGTGCCAAAGTTTGAGGCCCAGGAATCCTCCCTGCAGAGCGGACGAACGCAGAAGTCCTAGGCACTGGTTTTGAGTAGCCAGTCCCAAACCATGTGGCCTCAGGCCAGCCCCTCAGCCCTTCCAGGGCTCTGCTGGGTGGGGCCGGGCCGCTGGTTCTGGAGGCATCCCTGGTCCATCCGTGGGGAGTCATAGGTGAGGGTACAGGAAACCGTAGAGACAGGGTTCCTTTTCAGCAGCCTTAGAAGGAATGGCCACAGGCTCCTTCCCCATGATGTCAGCCCCACCAGCCCCGCATTCCAGTCTAAAGTGTCACCACCCGGTGATTCATGCACTTTTCATAATGGTTTTTATCCTCAGCCTTCTTGAGCCAGGCCCCAAGTGTTACTCTGTGTGGGCCGCCAGAACAAAGCCCCACAGATGGGATGGCTCAACAGCAGGCATTTACTGTCCCGGTCCTGGAGGCGGGGAGTCTGAGGTCAGGGTGTCGGCAGGGCCGGTTCCTCCCAAGGCCGCTCTCCTTGGCGGGCACACGGCTGTCTTCTCCCCGCGTCCTCACGTGGTCGTCCCTCTGCGTATTTGTGTCTTCATCTCTTGTTATAAGGTCACCAATCACATTGGATCAGGGCCACTCTAATGACCTCATGTTAACTTGGTTGTCTCTCTAAAGCCCTCTCCCCAAATCCAGCCCCATTCTGAGGTTCTGGGGGCTCCCAACACAGGAATTCAGTGAGGATGCAGTTCAGCCTGTAACACCCCATAGGGCCACCTCCCATGCCATTCTGTGCTGGGACCAGCTCAGTTCTCATTCCCATTGCCAGGGTGAGGAAACGGGCCCTAGGATGAGATGTGACAGGGTTATGGTCTAGTAAGCGGTGGAGCTGGGCTTCTAGCCCTAAGGCTCATGCTCTCGTCTGGGCCCTGTCGTGGTAGAGCTGAGTGCCCCAAGCATGCAGGAGAAGGGGGGGGCGGCAGCAGGGATGCAGAGCACCCCCAGCAGCTTCCCCGCCCCTTCCCAGGTTCAGAAGGCTGCAAGACGCTACGGATCCTGTACGAGGAAGTTGATGAGTCCGAGGTGGAAATCATCCACGTGCCCTCTCCCGCACTAGAAGAAAGGAAGACGGACTCCTACCGATACCCCAGGACAGGTGAGGGCACAGGGCAGCGGTCTGGGCCTCACAGAGGAGGCATGTCCCAACCAGGATTCCCCACAGGATCCAGAGAAGCAGGCTGGGCTCGAGAACAATAGCAGGACCGGGGCCACGATGGATGGTACCTGCCCTCTGCCTCGGGGTGCAGGAGACGGTGGGGGACGGGCGGGGGTGAGGGGGTGCAGGCCCTATCCAAGGGCATGTCAGACACTTGTCACGTTGTGAGAATACAGATTCAAGTTTGCCCCATTTCTCAAGAGGCCAGAAATCCAAATTTCTCCAGGAAACAGCCTACTTCTTAAACATTCTTTGAATTACTTAAAAATACTTAGTGATTCGCACACAGTACACATGCGGGTCACATTCAGCTTGTTTCTGACCTCCTTGGAAGCATGCGGTAAGCCCCTATTATGTGCTGTGCCTGACAGGGCTTTCCAGGGCGTCTCCAACCCCTGGTGTAAGTGGGAAATGTCCGCTTTCCCCTGCCCCTCTCCCACGGTGGGACCGACGGGAGAGCTGACACTCAGATGCTACCCGCCCAGGTAGCTAGAGCCATGCAGGCCACAGTCGGGATTGGTCACAGAAATAGCTGGAGCCTGACCCCAACCCACCTCTTGAAAGTGCCACTTGGCCATCCCAGCTAATCAGCCACCTGCCTCCCGACAGCTCAGGACCAGGCTGAGTCATGTGGCCACCTTTCTGCGTCGTTGATGGTTCTATTGTGGATGTGTCCTGTTTTTGCCACCAACTTGTTTCAAGCTCTCCGAGGCAAGGAGGCATGTTCCTTAATGCTCGTGTCCCTCCTCGACCCACCTTCCCCCCGGCACAGGGTCATGTTCTTAAATGGTAAAGATGGTTGTCACAGCACTGTCAGGAACAAGGTCCAGGTCCAAAGTCAGGAAGGCCTGCCTCAGGGGCTTTGTGCCTGGACCAGAGGGGTGACGACGCACCCACGGAGAGACCTTCGGACACCCGGTCCCTTCCTCCCCCTCCCTCCCACAATGGCTTTGTTGCCTTGCTGGGGCATTGCCCCATACGTCCATCCCAGACACCTGCTGGATTCACCTCCCTCTCATTTCTGCAGGCAGCAAGAATCCCAAGATCGCCTTGAAGCTGGCCGAGTTTCAGACTGATAGTCAGGGCAAGGTGAGAATGGCCAGGGTGCCCAGGAGAAGCTTCTGGATGGAGGAGAGGAGGGGCTGGGGGAGGTGCTGAAGACAGGTGGACAGGTGGGCGGCCTCAGCAGGCCACTTGCCCCCGTTCCAAGGGCACGTGCTCTCCTCCTTGGCCAACTGAACCTGAAAAGGCACTCCATCACTCAGCCTCCGTCTCAACACTGAGCAGTGAGCCCGGCCTCCCCTGCCTCCGCATGAGGAGGTGATGCTGGTGAACACCTTTGAGCAGAAGGTCCCATAAGGGTTTCCAGAACAGAGAGCCCCATTGGGTAGTCGTCCAGGGGACTTGACCTCTGAACTGGCCATTCCCCCTCCCCAGCATTTGGGTAGATCCTCGCATATAACTTCATTGGAATGGTCAGTGCTCCAGACACTTCTCTGTGTCACCTGGGGTCAGGACAAGTGTCCTCATCACTCAGGGAGCACTTGGTCAGGACCCCACAGCCAGGAGGGCAAAAGAGGCTATGACCGAGGAAGGTGCTGGGCCTCAGAAGGGAAACACCCACACGCCAGAGGTTAGAGCACTCAGACAAGCTGAGGACGCTCTTGCACATTTCTGTCAGAATGACTTTTTGTTTGAGGTTTCAACAAAAAGCATTCGATATCCTTATTTTCATGATTTGGGGGCTTAGGTCTTGGTTTTGGAATGATAAGGCCCTAACCAAACCCCTCCTCCACTCTTTACCCAAATGTTCTGGCAGATTGTACACACACCTGACATTAGGTGGCTTTGCTGAGCCCCTCCCAGTTGTTTCAAGTGGTGCCTGGCCCGTCAGACAAGCAGGGTCCTGAGTGGCCGTGGGTGGCGCCAGCTGGGGACCGGGCAGCAGGGGGATGTGGGGGTGGGGGCCACGCTGAGGCCCTGCCTGCCTTTCTCCCATTGGCCCTCTGGAGGCCGTGCCACCCTGAGCCCCCTAGGAAGCTGCAGCGGCCGCAAGTCGTGTTGCCCAGGGCCACCCGGCTCCGCAGTGACAGTCCAGACCAGAGCCCTCGGGTTCCAGCCCACAAGCTGTCATATCCAAGTACCACATCCTGGGGGCTTAAACAACAGAAGTGTATCGTCTCCCAGCTCGGGAGGCTGAAAGTCTGGTAGGAAGGTGTGGGCAGGGCTGGCTCCTTGCGAGGCCGTGAAGGAGAATCTGTTCCTGGCCCCTCTCCTTGCCTTGTAGATGGCTGCCTTCTCCCTGCGCTTTGCCACAAGGCATCTCTGCCCCTCTGGCCCTGGGATCCACGCTCCATAAGGCGACCACCCCCTTTTTTGGATTGGGACCACCCTATTCCAGTACCACCTTAACTGATGATACCGGCAACCACCCTGTTTCCGAATCCGGCCCCATTTGGGGGGCGCCAGGAGTCAGGACTCCGACATAGGGGTCCGGGGGGCACCGTGTCTGCTGCGGAAGCGCCCGTCTCCTCCTGGGCAGCATGTGGTCAGGCCAGAGTGTGACCCGAGTCTGCTTTCCCTTTAGGTCGTGGCGACACAGGAGAAGGAGCTGGTGCAGCCCTTTAGCGCGCTCTTCCCCAGGGTGGAGTACATCGCCAGGGCCGGGTGGACCCGGGACGGCAAGCAGTGAGTGTCAGCAGGACACGGAGGGCTCTCCTTGTCACTCCTTGTCACTCACGTGGTAACCCTCCTGCCACGATGAGGACGAACCTCTCTAAACGGGGCCCCAGACCGCTGCCCGCAGGCCAGATTGGGCCTGACGCCCGTTTTCTTTTAGCCCGTGAGCCGGGAACAGCTTTCGTGCTTCTGAATGATCAGGGGTTAAAAAAAAAAAACAAAAAAAACCCTAAAGGAGGAGAGTGTTTCATCACACATGAAAGTGAGCCGAACGCCATGTTTCAGTGTCTATAAATCAGGTTTTATGGGCACATGGCCACACTCCTTTGTGTACGGATCGTCTGTAGTGGCTTTCACGCCAGGTCGGCAGGGCCGGCCCAGAGAAACTGTGTGGCCCACAAAGCGGAGCTGTCTACCTGCTGGCTCTTTGCTAGACAGTTTGCTCCTCCAGCTCCACGCACTCATCCCAGAGCCTGGATGGAGGCCCCATGCCTTTGGTGGGCCACAGGCTCCGGTGGACACGCACGTCCCTGTGGCGTCACTCGCTGGTTTGGTCTCCGTTGTTGTCTCCATGCAGAGATCCAGGTTTCCCACCTACAGTACTAACAGGCCTCAAACACGTTGTCCATTTACAGTTAGAAAAGATACAGTTTTTTTTCAGTTTTTCAAAGTTCTGTTTCAAAGCAGTTGTTTTGAGGACAGAACATAATGACGAAAGAGCTCCCAAACAGGATTTTTTTTTTTTTTTTTTTAAGTAATCCCTGCACTAGTGTGGGGCTCGAACTCATGACCCTTTTTTTTTTTTTTTTTTTAAGTAATCCCTGCACTAGTGTGGGGCTCGAACTCATGACCCTGAGATCAAGAGTTGCACTCTCCCCGACTGAGCCAGCCGGGCGCCCCCCCCCCCAACAGGATTTTTTTTTTTAAGTTGCTGTTTGCTTCCATCTCAAGTCCTTAAGGACTCATGTTGTTCAACAGAATAAACAATTTATTCCCCCCCAAAATAAAGAAAGAACATTGTTCGTACAGAGCAAAACAGGAAGTAAAGAATCGTGTATGTGGCAGAAATCGCAAACGTTTTTGAAATGCCGCTCTAAAGTCTAATGACACAAGATGTTTCCAAACTAGTGGGGTTATAGAGGTCTATCATCCCTCTGGGCTCCCCTGAGGGCATGTGCTGGCCCGGAAACTGTTGTGTGCTACGGTCTTACTTGGTCAAGTGTAGACAATGTTGGCAAAGGAAGAAGATTCTGGTCCCACGTAAGTTTGGGAAGGGAGGTGTCGTCACCCGGCTTCCCCCCGCTGGGCCCTGAGGCCTTCAGCTTCTCTCTCCTCTTGCTGTCTCAGCGCCTGGGCTATGTTCCTGGATCGGCCCCAGCAGCGGCTTCAGCTCGTCCTGCTACCCCCAGCCCTGTTCATCCCCACTACCGAGAATGAGGAGGAGCGGATGGCCTTCGCCAGAGCAGTGCCCAGGAACGTCCAGCCGCATGTCGTGTATGAGGAGGTCACCGATGTGTGGATCAATGTAAGAGTGGGGAGCTGCCGGGTGTGCACCCGCCCGGGTCCCCAGATCCCCAGCAGAGCAGGGCCAGGGAGGGCGGGAGTCCCAGGGGGCTGGGTTTGTCCTCCACATGAGTCCAGCCAACGGTCAGAGCCCCACCTTCTGATGCCTCCTCTCTCTTTTTCCCGGACAGGTTCATGATATCTTCTATCCCTTCCCCCAGTCAGAGGGAGAGGAGGAGCTCTGCTTCATCCGTGCCAACGAGTGCAAGACTGGCTTCTGCCACTTGTACAAAGTCACCGCCATCTTAAAGCCCAGTGGCTACGACTGGAGTGAGCCTCTCAGCCCTGGGGAAGGTGAGCAAAGCCTGACTAACACCACCGCTCACCCAGTCAGCCGTCCGTGGTTCAGTGCACTGCTTACTCACTGGCCCCGCCCTGTGACCAGTCCCATGAGGGAGGGTCAGGATGAAGAAAAAGCCAGCCTTTCCCGAACATCGGTCACGGCCTGGCAGGGGTTATTAGAGCCAGCTGTTCATTCAGTCAGTGGTATCTGTGTAGCACTTACTATGCTCCAGGCCTGTCTCACCCCAGCGGTTGGCACACCACAGCCACGGATCAAATCTGGCCCACTGCCTGTTTTTATAAATAAAGTTTTATTGGCACATGGTCACGCTCATTCATTTATGGAGTGTCTGTGGCTGATCTCATGCCACCATGACAGAGTTGAGTAGTGTGACGGTGGTGTGACATGTATCTTGCAAAGCGGAAAATATTGGCTATCTGGCCCTTCATAGGAAAAGTGGCCAACCGCTGCTCTAGGTGCCAGGGGTATAATTATAAAAAGAGAAAGGAAAATCCCTGCCCTTACGGAACTCTCTAGTGGAAGAGATGGGCAGTAATGCAAAAACAATCGAGAGTGATGTTCGTGGTGGCAGATGCAGCAGGATAAGAGTCTAGAGAGTGAGGGGCCTTCTTTCTAGCATGGGAGGTCAGGGATCATCTCTGGATAATGTGTTATGAAGCAGAGACCTGGAACAGGTGGCAGAGGCAGCCCCACAGATCCCAGGTTGAGGGCACAGCTTGTGCAAAGGTCCTGGGGCAGTAGCTGCCTGGTGTGTTGGAAGAGCAGTGAGGAGGCCCTTGTGGCTGGAGCAGAGTGAGTGAGGGGGAGAGATGGAGGAGGGGTGGACAGAGAGGGGATGAGGCAGGTCGTGCGGGGCGTTGGGGGCCTCAGGAAGGACTTGGGCTTTTACCATTGATCTTATATCAGTTTAAAGCCATTCCTAGGGTTGCTGTGTGGAGTACAACCTGAGGGGCAAGGAGCGGTGACAGGGATGGGTCATGGCAGCAGGCTGGGCTAACGCAGGTAGATTTGATTCTGGATGAACTTTGATCTCTGAGTCACCACGGTGTGCTGGTGGAATAGATGTAGGGTCGGAGAGAGAAAGAGGAAAGGCACAGGAGCATGGAGGGTTTTTGGAGGGTCAGTGTGAGACAGAAAGACTATGGGAGGGGCAGTTTTAGGAGAGAAATGTCCATTTGGGGTTTGGAGGTATTCACGGTGCAGTGCCCAGGAGTGGCTGTGCTGTGTGGTCTGCGTGCCCGGAGTGCCGGCGAGCAGAACACATCTGCAGTGGGCGTGTGGGTGTCCTCACAGACGGCCTCTCCGGCCTCGCAGCCTCAGGACAGGAGGGAGCACCACAGGCCGGTCTGGGTGGGGAAGCAGTGTGGGCTGAGAGCCAGCCCAGGGCCCCTGGGGCTCTCCCCCCCAGCTCTGCGGACCCTGAGCCAGCTTGTCCTCAGTGGGGGCATCCCGGGCTCTGCGGGGCTGAGCATTGCGCCCCTGACCCCCACCCACTCAGTGCCAGGAGCACCCACGATCGTGACGGCCCCAGATGTCCCCAGACATCGCCCAGTGTCCCCCAGGGCCGGATCGCCCCAGGGGAGCCCCACAGTTCAGAGGCAGCCCACAAACAAGCCTGAGGCAGCGCCGCATGGGGCATGGAGACCGGAGAGAGCGAGGTGTCCACGGGAGCCAAGCCGGGGGTCAGGAACAGGTGAAGCCACGAGCTGATGGGGGTCAAGTGAGACGGGGACAGAGGAGTGACTGCTGTCTCGGGGTGTTGTCAACACTGTCACCTGGGGTGTAACACAGTCAGCACGGGCTGGCTAGGCCATCTCTGAGGTGGGTTTTCTGTGGCTGTCTTGGTGTTGTGCTTTCGCGTTTGTCTGTCTGTCTGACTTAGCCACTACCACCTAATCTCACTTCAGGAGACCTCACTTGGCACATCCTCATTCCAGGCTCTGGTGGTCGCTGGGTGGAGCTCACGGCAGGTGCCCCGGGGCCCCTCCAGCCTCTGTGGTGGGTGCACCAGGTTTCCCATCCACGCTGTGTGGGCCCACCTGCCCTCCAGCTTGCACTTCCCGTCACGTGGCTCAGGCCTGGTAGGCAACAATTGGACGGCCGAGAAGGCGAGACCTTGGTCACTTTGGACCAAAAGGCATGAGTTCTTTAAAGGCGCCATCAGCGGGCCTGGGCGAGAGGGAGGAGGGTCGGGAGCCTGGAGGACCAGCAGAAGCGGGGACGGCACTGGCAGGGGCAGTGTGTCCGGGCCACGCGAGGTGTCCTTCGCAGTGGAGGGTCCCTCGAGAGAGAGGGCCGAGCGGGTGTGGTTGGCAGCCCCTTCCGTGAGAGGTGCGGGCTTGCACCAGGAGGCTGCAAGGGGGGAGTGCGTGGCCGGCCGGCCGCTGGGCGCACCGGGTCCTCCTGGAGGGGCGGGAGAATGGAGCAGAAGCAGGGCTCTTAACGGTGGCCACGTGCGGTTGTGCCCCCCCCACCGAGCACCTTCTGTAGGCGCGACCAAGAACGGCACCGTAAAGATTTGAATGAGTGTTGTCCTCAGCAGCACACACACTAGAACTGGAACGATACAGAGAAGAGTAGC